GAACTTTCAATTCTAACGCGACATGGGAAGATGAACAGTGTCGTGAAGTTTTGATATGAAGTTCCTTTTTTTTTTTTATCAAACACGACATAAGTTTTTATCAAACACGAAAAAGTTCTCAACTTCTTCCTGTTATTAAACAAGGCTGTTAAGAGTGGGGCGTGCCCCTATGAGAGATAGGATTTAGGTGTGTATAATATTGGGTAGGGTTTTCGCTTTTAAAAGTGTATCAAATTGTTATAGGGTTTTATAAGGTTTTTTTAGGACTCGTCTCTTCACGTGATATTGAATATACATCATTGATCTTAGGTATCTTATATAGTGAGATTTATTGTATAGATAAACCATCAAGATCATATAGAAAATACTATAACTATTATTCCTCACTTCTTAAAACACTTTCCTATAAATTAATTCAAATAATATTTGGTAATATTATACTTTTATTTAGTGCTCAAGCTTTCTCATACATACCAAAATTTGATTCAAATTTTTCTCAAAGCATAAGTTTTCCAAAACACAAATTATTTAACCCTGAGCTTGAGCACTCCAAAATTTGAAAGCCCTCAAGATGGGGGGTGCCACCCTAGATGGCATATAGTGGGCCCATCCAAATTGTCATGACGGACCCATTTATATTATTGGCCCTTTCATGTAAGACAAAAATATTAAAATAATGTTACGATTTTTAGGTTTCATAAAATCATATTTAAATAATTAAATCAATGTAACATCAACGTCTTTGTTTTTACAAATCCAAAATTTATAAATAAAATATCCAGATATTTAAAAAAATTCAAATAACAATTATAAAAATCATATATCATTAAAACAAACATAATTAAATACTATGAGAAAATTATCCATATAGTTTAGGAATAAATATACACTGGGGCACTCCACCTTCTACTATAGACCATAGTCTATACTTGCTTTTTCAAAACGACCCAGCGTTGCTCGTGACCCACGATCTATGCAAATGATCATTAGTAGGTTACCAAAGTCAAGCCAATAGGCAAGGAATCGTAGTCCCAGTCAATGGATTTCAGGTTCTCCCCTATAGACGAAACCAAGGTCACACAGACCTGATGCAATCAATTGTTCAAGGGTGTATAAGGGTTATCTCTTGCACATGCACACGCTTCATCCTGGAAGGTGGTTCGCTCTCCTGAAAATGACTATCATTGTCCATTACGTGTGATGGTACGCGAATGAGATTTTGATTATGTCTTTGAAGGCCTCCATCACACACAAACGTCACATAGTCTCTTGACTTACTCTTCCGAGCATACTCAAACCTCATCAAGGAATGACCCATCATAACCCTTATCGGTTTGTTTTCTATGCCCATGTAACATGGGTTTTTCCCAACCAGACCGATCTAGTTGGTAAAACATAGTCCGGTATTAGGAAATATTGTTTACTTAGTATGGTCCACATAGGACCACACTCCCATTGAGTTCATGTTCTATTATATCAATAAGTTCATGTACAAACACTCGTAATGCCTTGAATGGTCACACACACCCAACATCTTTGCCTTTGATTATTTTAGACGATGTAATCCGGTGATGTAAAATCCATTTCTTAATAACTTAATTATCATTTGGAAAAAAAAAAATCGGAACACTATCTTCTAGATAATTTTTTATGTGCACCTTACTTCAATAGTATATAAGATAAGCGTAATTGTAATAATTTTAAAATTCCAAAAAAAAAAAAAAACAAACTTTTAATAAGTGATGGCTCGTATGAGCATGATGGTCCTTAGGGACCATCACTATTTTCAAAAGCTTTTGGTTTAAAGCTTTTGCTGCCTTGCTCTTGCCAAGTCCACTAAAGGACGTGGGCTTTAAGCGTTTAAAGTGTAATTTAATAGTTACAGCTCATGTGTGAAGTGTAACTTAATAAAAGAATATAATATAGTATCTTAAAAATTTAAATACGATAGGTGAGGACTCCCACCCTAAAAATAACTTTTTACCTTGGTTCCCCCGAGTAAATGGACAATATGTTACGCTCTTTGGGAGTAAATGGACAATATATTCCATAGAGTAATCGTATTTTCTCGTGTGGTTTAAAAAACGGATCGGCGCTCCGGATCGAGCACCCAAAAACCCATCCAGATCGGTTAATCGGTGATCCGAATCGAGAATAGGACAAATCAATCAGATTTAGCCTTAAAAAAAATCCGAAAAAATTATTAAAATTCATTATAAATGTTGTTTAGGAAATTATCGCAAATATACTTTAATTTAAGCTTAATTGGAAAAAGCTCAAACTTTCGTTTATCTCGTCTACACCATTTTCCACATTTTCAGCTTTTTCTTCTTTTTTTTTGACCCAAATGACATTCACGCTAGTCTTACTACCGTAATACATAACATTTTATACGGTATTTAAAATACCGCAATAGCTTCAAGTAATATTACGGTACTTTTAAAATACCGTAGTAACTTCAAGTAATATTACGGCACTTTAAATACCGGAAAACTCTGGTCATGACCAACCGTGAAACCAATTACGGTACTTTAAGTACCGTAAAAACTAAAACTCATTATACGGCATTTTAAGTACGGTACAAACTAACCCATATTATACGGCATTTAAAATGTTGTAAACCTTTTATCCTTATGTTTATATTTATCTCTTTCATCTCTAATATATTTTTCATGCATTATCTTATTTCTCTCTATAATTCTTTTTAATATTTATCTCTCTAATTCTTTTTTATCTCTTCTTTCTATCTCTAAATCTTTTTTCATCTTAATTGGGATATTTGGCCATGTCTTTTTAATATTTATCTTTTATTTATCTCTCTAAATCTTTTTTATCTCTTCTTTCTATCTCTGAATCATTTCTCTTCTTAACTGGGATATTTGGCCGTGTCCAAATTAGCTCGTCTGAGTAATCAAACATTGACTTCGGCAATGCAAAACAGAGGACATGATCTATATAAGGAAACGATGATGGGATTGTAGAGAGAAAGAAGAGATAAAAAATAATCAGAGAGAGAAATAATAGATAAATATTAAAAGAATTAGAGATATAAATAATAGATAAACATTAAAAGAATTAGCGATGAAAGAGATAAATATAAACATTGATGAGATTGTAGAGAGAAATAAGAGATAAAAAAGAATTTGAGAGAAAAAGAATAGATAAATATTTAAAAGAATTAGAGAGAGAAATAATATATAAACATAAAAAAGAATTAGAGATAAAATAAATAAATGTAAACATAATGAGAAAAGAGTTTACAACATTTTAAATGAGTATATCATGTGTTAGTGTTTACTGTACTTAAAATATGGTATAAGGGTTAGTGTAAGTTTACGGTACTTAAAGTACCATATAAAATGCACTCGGTATTATGGTACTTAAAATATCGTATAAAATTTTATAAGTATTACGATACTTAAAGTACCGTATAACATGTACTAACTATTACGGTAATATGACTACCGTGAAGATCATTTTAGTAATAAAAAAAAAACAAACATGAGGAAAAATGATGTATACGAGGTAAACGAAAGTTTGGGGTCGTTTTCCAATTAAGCTTAAATTGAAGTATATTTGCAATAATTTTCCATGTTGTTTTTTAATAATCCAATAAGAAATGAGGTGTTACATTAAGAACTTTCATTTTTTGCATCAATATGTGAATATTGAGATGTTATTTCAATGCATGAACTATTGTTAACCATTAAATTTGCATCACACAAAAGGATAAACAAATAATTATCATGTAGTATATCATCATACATAGACTACAATAAAAAATTAGATTAAATCGACAAAAAAATGGCCACCAAAATCTCGAATTGGATGAACACCCCAATCTACTAAAATAACCCAAATTATTACCACCTAACTAACTATAATCCAAAGTTATTATAACCTAACTAACTATAATCCAAAATTATTACAACCTAACTAACTATAATATTATATACATAAATTGAATTTATTGGTTTACATTTTATAATTATTTTACTATACAAATAATAACAAATCCAAAATATCTTATAATATCATCTAATTTAAAATATATTATTGACAACTGTAAGAAAAAATAGTACATTGCATAATTTATAATGCAAATTTTTTTCAAAAATCTATTTTTTTAGGTTTCTAGAATAAATTTAATGGAAGAGATTGTTAGTAGAGAGAGATTTCAAATAGTCTCATTGTATGAATCTTATCTTTAAATTAATATTCCTAAATTTATGTTAAAGACCATCATGTCATACAAATAAAAATATATAATTAGACCATTTATTTATGAGTAACAAAAAAAAATCTAACAATAGGCATTCATATATGAGAGAAAAAAAAAAAGAGCTAACATGCTTCGAGCCTTTATTGTATTACCTTTACATGTCTAATTTAAGCTTACAATAATCGCAGCTCAAATGCGTACTTGAAAAACATGATACTTGTTGTATTACTTTTTATTTATTTTTTGACAATAAATACTTATTGTATCACTTTTTTTTACCAGAAAAATAAGAAGATGGTATTGCCTAGGTACCTTTTATTTTATTTTTTGACAAAAAGAATTTGTTTTTGACAACAAAAATAAGAAGATGGTACCTTTTATTTTATTTTATTTTTGACAAAAAGATTTTGCTTTTGACAAAAAAAAAGAAGAAGATGGTACATTTCATCGTTTATTTTTTTTAAAGAAAAGTGACAAAAAAATAAGAAGAAAATAAGAAGATGGTACCTTTTATTTTATTTTATTTTTTGACAAAAATAATTCGTTTTGACAAGAAAAATAAGAAGATGGTATGTTTTATCGTTTTATTTTTTTATTACATTTAATTTATTTTTTGACAAAAAATACATGTTGTATTATAATTTTTTTTACAAGAAAAATAAGAAGATAAGTGTTGCCTAGGTACCTTTTATTTTATTTTTTGACAAAAATAATTTGTTTGTGACAACAAAAATAAG